CTGCAACCTCTAAAGTGGCTATGTAAATGTGAGCATGCCACACCACCATTGATTCATGCTGCCAAAACATTAGCCCTAGAAGCTATTGGATTATAAGGCTTGTTTATTCTCTCCCTTTCTCTAGCTAGATCTAGTCTTGTCTTTTTATTTTTCCTGTGTGGTAGCTCTGCTTTGAAAAAACAGCTTAGTTTCTTGTGGGTACTTTGTCTTAGCACGTTTCATATCTGCCATATGCTCTTCGTTCTGCTGTTGCCTGAGCCTTTTTCTCTCTCTTGGTGAGATACCCACAAGGGTTTTGCAATTACTTGAGTGTTCCTGAATGGTCTGAAGTACCATAATCTTTGACTAGAAGTCAGAATATCTGGCACCTTATCTACAGCTGAGCTACTGGGGGATCATGGACTTGCCATTGCACTTTTCAGGGCATTTGTATCTTTGCTTCTTAAGATCCTTCCATCCATAATGGTTAGTTATGAGGAAAGTGGATATTTATATACCTATACGTCTTTCTTGAAAGCTATCAAGCTTCTACTCTTAGCTGCTACATTTCCTTAAGTGGCGTGATTGTACCCACAGGTTCAAAGCTATGCAAAACCAAATATGCACCTCTCTCTCTTGCTCTCTTTTATTTTTTTAAGTCTTTTCGTAATGGTTTGAATGTTTTGCTCTGTTTGAGGTGTGGGTAAATGTTTCTGTGGTTCCCAGAGGAGGGAGGGTGAGGAGTAGGTAACAGGGGAAATGGGTGTTGTGGTCATGCAGGTGCTTAGGCAGTGCATAGAGGGAAGTTATGTGAGTGGCCAAGTCAGGTGCATGGTACTATATAGGGCAGATATGTGCTGGGTATTTATTTATACACTGTGTCCCTCAGTGGAAAAAATGCTCTTTGCATTTTAAGTCTGACTTTCTCGTCATTTTGCATGCCAGTTTTAAAGCAAGACTGAAAAGCTGGATTGATTAAAAAAACACTGACCAAGTTTCATTCTCTGAGCAGAGAGCCACACAGTTTCACAATCTGGTTTTCTTTGCCTCAAATTGAGGGTAAAACAAAGGGCATCCTTTGAGGAACTGCTGTTCCTTTATATTCATATAACTAGTTTTATCAGTTTAGAAAGAGAGAGGGTCCTCAGGTTCTGGGTCTCCCTTTCACAGTAAAACACAGAGATGGTGTTTTTTTTTCCAGAATAGACTAGGGACTTTTGGATGCATCATTTATTTTTGAAGAACCTGCTGTTCAGAAAGTGACTGCATAGTCCTTTTTGGGAATCTTTTCTTTGCAAAGGATCTGAAACTAGGCATTTACAAATGAAAGTCTCTGAATTTAGTAATCATTTTGTGGGAAGCATTTTCTTTGATCACAGATTCGTACCTTACTTCCCCTGTCCCCTTCTCTAGCAGCTAAATGCAGTCCAAATTTAAAGAGAAACATGGGTCTCTTCTTTTCTGAGATCTGTTGTTGCAACCCTTCTGGTAAAATCTCATGTGCTCTAGAAAATGTGAAAATTAAACAGTAGAGGAAGAATATTCACTAACTAGACTTAGTGGGAACTTCTGACTAAGAATCTGCTCTCTTACTAATAAGGAAACTGTTGAAGTTTGAAAATACCTGTTTTGGTCACAATGCATTGTTTAGATGATCGATACTGATAGTGTTGTATGCTGTCAAACCATAACGTGTGGCTTCTATTTCCAAAGCTGCTGCAATCTGTTACAAAAGGTAGCAGAGGTGAGCTGGGAAAATAATACCTACATTTTAATTTATATCTAAAAATAAGTGTCAACCCAAGCAGCCTACCCTTTGGCAAGGCTTTTTTACTGAGTCACATGTAGAAGGCTGCCTTTATTCTTGAAGGCGGTTGGTGTCCAATCCCCTTGCTTTCTCATCTCCCATATTTTGCATTCTTTTATTTTATTATAAACTCCAGTCTTAGCTGCCTAAATCTTTGGAACCAGACTCCCTCTGGCTTTTACTGAGAGTGAGATAGTCCAAAACTCCCTGTTACTTGCAGCAAGTGTGAGCACCTGCATCTGCAAACTGAGCAGGTGCTTGGGTTGTTATTGAAACCTAGAGTGCACTAATTGTTCTCTAATGGACTGATATCTCTTTATCTGGTGACATGCAGAACACTAGCATATTTGGGAAATAGCCTGAGTGGATGGATTTCCCACTGAGGATGGTCTTTAGGCCATTTGTGGTCACTGCTTCCTGTTCTTAGCTTACCATGAAACGTGCTCCTTAACTGTGTGAAGGCTTCTAAACAACAGAAGAATCATACAATTGTTTAGGTTGGGAAAGGCCTTTAAGATCATCGAGTCCAACTGTTTCAGTTAGAAATTTTTGAATACATAATGATTTGTGCTTGCAGCTTGCAAATCTACTCACAAGTCCCTCTTAACCTTATGAATACAAGTGATCATACAGGGATAGACAACAATTTAGTATTCTAGAGGTGTGTAACTGCTAGAAGTATTCCCACCCCTCAGCTGACATCTCCTTGTACTGTTCAGCAGTACCTTACAAGCACCTGAAAAAACCTCTTCTTTTGTAAAGGACCTTACTGTGCCTGTGCAGGAGTCAACATATGTATCATTGCAGCATCTTTGCAAAGTCAGGAAGTGTTCTTACTGCAATTCAGCCTATTCCAAACCTGAGGCGCAGACGCCCTGTGAGGGGCTTTACATCCCACCAGTCTAACAGAGCCAGAACAAGAAGTTGCAGGTGACATCTTGGTGCACCTTAGTCAGTGCAAGCTCTCCTCTTAGCTTCCAAGAGCCAGCCTTTACTGCAGTACTTGTTAAGTGTCAGTTCAGTGCAGTGACTACAACACTCGTCTTACTTGTTGGAGGGCAGTAAGGTAGCCCTAATAATTTTGGATCTGAAACTATCCCCTGTGAGACATTTTACTTGGTCATCTGCAACTCGAAGTACCAAAATTAGAGGTGGTACAGTTGTTAGTGTTAACACATCTGGTGCTGAAATGAAGGTTACAAAAATTCTTTGTCCATTTAAGTAAGCTTTAGATCTGGGTACAATTTTTCTCTGTATTGAGATGAAATACTTTCTTTCTGAAAAATGTTTGATTCATCGAAGCCAAAATGGAGACCCAAGAGATGCATATAAGCAGGTCCTGATTTACAGCAGGAAGCAGAGGCACTCCAATTTTCATTGTGCACATCTCAGGAAGATGCACCAATCTCTAGATTGTTGGGAGTGTTGCTGGTGGTGTAGTTGTTTTCATGTAAAACCTCAAAAAGTCTTGATTTCTTTCAAGGCATACAAAAGCATCTCCAAAATCATGAAAAGGTTTGTGGGATGGGTAGATGAATGTTCTCCATCCAGATCTGCTGACAGATTTCCTAGTAATTGCTTTGCTACCTTTTCATGACAATGAAAGAATATGACAGATTACAAAAATCCAAACTGTATTCCTTAACTGCAACCATACTGGACTTATTTTAAAATAATAAAAGTGGAGGAAAAAATAAACAGTCCAGATTACTATACAAGATCTTTTGCAGGTGTCATACCAGAATTGCAGCATTTCCATTTCATATAGCAAGCCACTTTACAGCCATTAAGTTCTTTTAACAGATAAAATAGGCATCCTGTTACATTACACAAGTCCACCACATTAAATACTTACAGTCACCGTAAGTTTGGTGTCATTCTAAGCTGTGTGAGTGCTAACAAACAAATAATGAATAGTAACAGGGAATAGTGAAAATTCCAGTAGTAAGTTTGTTCAAGCATAGGCTACCTTTTCTTTGGAAAAAATAATGTAAAATAACATTTACACTGTCGTGAGAATGTCCAATAGATGTCTTGCGGTTTACAAGAGCGAAATAAGCACCTTCATAGGGTGCGGTCTCTTGGATGAGTGCCTAAAAGCATCCAGAGAGGTTTGCTTTGTTGAATTAGTTGCCTTTTCTGTATTTTTTCTTGCTCATGGGGAGCATTTGCTGTGGAATTTATATATAATTCTCGTCAAACCTGGCAATATTTGATCAGTTTGGGTTTTTTTTTCCCCAAAACGCCTGTATTACAGCTTTAGGCAATGGAAGGAGACCTTGGTAGATGTTCCTTAGTCATTGTTCCAATTTGATCTGGCATTTTGAGGTATTAAATTATTGAAGTATTAATTAATGAAGTAAAAAAAAAAACAACAAAAACAAACAAACAAAAAAAAAACAAAAAAGCAAAAAAAAAAAAAAAAAAGAAAGTGACAGCTCTAACTTAAATTTATTTTAAGCCTTGTAGACTGATTATATTCCAAAGACACAGTTCTGCTTTGGGTGGGGATTAGGGAAATAATGAGTGAGATCTGACTTACTAAGATGTGATTTTTTTTCTGTAATAAAAATTGTAAGTTAGTTGAAATGCAAGTCTTAAGCTTCTTTTTGTAATTAAAATAAGTTTCATGTACTAGTAAAGGTGAAGGGAGGCTAAGAGATTGAGAAGAGGCTATTGAGACAGCAGTTTTTGAGGGACACTGCAAACAGGATTAAAACTTGAACTGACACTGTTCTTATTTTCAAACACTGGAAGGTCTGAAAACACAGTTGATGCTCTTCATGCATTTGTAAGCCTGAAGCAGTTTGGTCTTTAGGTATGGGGGAAAAAGTCTGTCACGTGGAGGAAGGCAACCAAAATCTTTTAGAAGAGGGGAGAGAAAAATATGCATGTGGTGAAGGGAGGGGAGAGCAAAAAAGTTCCTGTGTCTCTGTGATGCTCCCCTTATAGCGCAGGCACATATTCAAGTATCTTACTGTGTGCCAGAGAGCATACAGCAGCACCAGGAACTGCTGAAAGACAATGCCTCGGCTGACCCTGCAGTGCCAGCTCTTTACAGCTCCAATGAGGGTTTGCTGTGTGAGCCTGTGGGCACAGCAGGGAACTGGCTGGGGAGCTGGGCAGGATGTCCATGCCTTGGTTTCCAGGTTTGCGCTGCTGCTGGGTGAGGTCTGTTTTCATTTCTCTGCCTATATTAACACGACTGCAAAGCTCAAGAAAAAATGCAAATACCAGGATTTATTTGTAACACCCAAAACAGTCATCCCCATTTACAGATGTTTAGAAAATACAGAGGTGTGAAAAGAAAAGCTATACTGAATGCACTCGTGCTGCAGGTACATGAGAGAGATACCTCTTCCATTGTTCAGTTCACCTTTTCTTTTCCCTGCTGTCCAGACAGTAGCCAGGTCTTCAGGCTTTGCACATTGCTCTCTGTTTCTTATGAGTTATGTTGGCTGGTGTAGCTGTCTTCCATTTAAAACCTTTTAGCAGGTCTGCAGGTCTGTTACACCACTGTACGAACAACCCAAGCAGTCAGAAATTGTGTCAGAACCTCAAAGAAGTCTCAAAACCCACAAGTGTTTTTGTTGTTGTTGGGGTTTTTGCCTTTAAGAGAAAGGTTAAATGAAGTATTGCTTTTGCTTCTTTTCTCGTTTCTCTGCCTTCAAGTTAGCTTTTTTTCTGAAATCAGAAATCGGGCTGAAGATTTAATGCCATAGTAAGAAGCTGAGACTTAAAGAAAAATGCACAGGACTCAAGCTGCAAGACCTAGTAACACACAAATCCATCAAAACATTAGATTCCTAAATTCAGAAAACCTCCAAACCCCCAGAATGTATCAGTCTGGTTTGAAGCCACTGTGACATGTTTGTTGGTGAGCTAGGAACCAGAGAGAAGAAACACTTGTGCTGTTTTTCTTGCTCCGCACAGAATAAAAACACACATATAAATATATATATATATATATGTAAAAGTTCAAAGCTTGCCTCACAACAGCTTTATCTGAGTCACATGATTCTTCTTAGTTTGTAGCACTTGGGCTGGGGTTCTGGTATAAGCATTTGTGGATATTTCTTGGCACGATGGTTTCTGCTTTACACCATTCAGTGACACAGTGATCTCTGTGAACCGTAATCTGTGGTTAACGTTTCCTATTCCATCGATATGCATTTAAAGGGAAGCAGTTCCTCCCACCTGAAGTGCCAGCTGCATTACATTTGCACCTCTGTCGTTAATCTCTCCTTTTGTTTTCAGCTTCTCTCACTTTATTCTTTGCCTGCTGTCTTTGGAGAAGTTCTTTCCTGTGCAGTCCCAGCTCCCTGTCAGAGGGACACAGAGCGCTTCCTCTTCCTAGCAGCATTCTCCCCGGCAATAAAATTGGATAAGGAGTGGCTTAGGCGAGTGTCCAGAGTATCCAGGTTGCTGCCGCTGCCGCTGCTTTTCACCCATGGGCACAGGCACCGAAGCATGGCTCTGCGGATGTAGTTGTCAAAGCAATAGTAAATGAAAGGGTTGGCACAGCTATTGGCAAAAGCAAAAGGGCTGCTCACCTTCATACCCAGCTGGGCAACCATATCAGGAAAACAGTCAGGCCGCTTCATGAGTCCCAAAAGGATGGCCATAAGCTTGAAAAGATTGAAGGGAACCCAGGAGATAACAAAAGCTGCTACTACAATGGAGACAATCTTGATGGATTTTCTCAGTTTCTTATCATGTTTCCCATTTCTCTGATAATGCACACAGAGTCTTTTGGTGATGGAGCAGTAAAAGGTTAAGATACTCAACAGTGGGAAGAAGAAGGCCAGGATTAAAAGCATCAGTGACATAATCTGCTTGGCTTCTGTCACGGCTTTGTCTGTGCAGTAAGTCTTTCCATAGTGCTTCTTCAGTTCTCTGGACAAAAGGGTTGGCATTCCTAAGCAGCAGGATAATAACCAGACACAGATGCAGAGTCCACTGCAGTAGGATCTTGTTCTGAGCCGTCTAGCGATAGAGGGATGCATGATAGCGAGGTACCGGTCAGCACTCATACAAGTGAGGAGGAGGATGCTGCAGTACATGTTGACTGAGATGACATAGGAACTAGTTTTACAGAGGAAAGCTCCTACCCTCCAGCTCCCATCCGATGCCTCCTTGTCCACCCAGAGCGGAAGTGTAATGAGGAAGATGAAGTCAGATGCAGCAAGGTTGATGATAAAGATGTCAATCAGCCTCTGGACCCGTCGCTTGAAGACCAAGGCTGCTATCAGGATGGAGTTGCCCACAATGCCCACCAGGAACAGAGCAGTGTACAGGACAGGGAGAAAAGTAGACATATGTTGCAGGTTCTGATATGGGCAGTTGTCATCGTAGTAGTAGTAGTAGTAGTTGTAGTTGAAAGTGACTGTAGTCACAGGGGAAAACTGGGTGAGTTCCATTTCTGGCCAAGCTGTCCCCATCCCTGCTCTGAGGAAGGCTCTGAGCTTCCCCTACCCTTGCCCTCAAGGTCTTCCTTAAAAACATGATAGCGAGTGAGGGGGGAGGAGTGCAGAAAGGGGGGAGGAGAAAAGTGGTGGTGGTGGTGGGGTTATTTATATACTTTTATGCAATCACTTAGGCAGCGGACAAGTGATGATAGTCTCTGATTAGTCAAAACCCTGTCTTCAGAATAAACGCTTCTTTTTTTAAAATCAGGCTTAGTTTTACTGATTGTATCTTCATGTTGCATTTGCCTGTATAAGCAAACCAGGTTTGGGGTTTGCTTTTATTATGGTGGGGGAGGTAAGGTAGTTTTCAAGATTCTGAACTTTTGATTTTTTAGGACAGGATATTGCTAGTTTGCAAAGGTTTGAGACTGAACCAGCTCAGAAGAAGACAGAGAATTCAGGTGCCACATTCTTTATTGTTTCTCAAAACATCTTGTGTAAATTGCTTTTTGGAAAATATTCAACTTTTCTGAGGCTTTGAGGATTTTATAATTTCTTTCTCTGTTTATGATTGTTGTTTCCTGTTGAGAGTAATTCTCTCGTATGAAAATATTTCAGGGAAAATATTTAAAACTACCCTACCCATTCTGCCCTGTAGTGCATTGTTCTGTATCAGTCCACAGCTCTCCACTGCTCTGCCAGCACCCCCTGCCTGCCCTGCAGCTCCTCCAGTTCCCCCAGCCCTGTGCACCCCATGCCTAGCTTTATGAATGGATTAGAAACATAGAGGACAGATTTCCTGTGTGTTACATACTCTGCAATTTGAAACGTGACTTGGCACCTCTGCCATTTCCTTATCATCCACAGTCCTGGTCTCCAGAGCAGTTTCTGTTCCTTCTCTCCTCTGACTGTGCAGCTCACATGGCTCTTGAGCTGTTGTTATGTACAATGCTTGCTTCTCTTAAAGAGTTCTGATCTCCTTCATCTTTCATTTGCAATATCAATATTTCTCCATCTGTGGCTTACCTTACAAACAGCCCTTTCAGTGATCCATAAATCAAATGAAAAGTCTCACTTTCTGAACTACCGAATTCATTAGTTTTGTCAATACATACCAATGTGAAAGAAACTTCTACTACCGGTCTTCATCATCCTTCCTCTATTCTGCAGATAAATTAATTTTCTCCTTCCTCCCCCTCCCACCTGCATGTTCACAGACCACGCATATCTTAAGGATTCTCAAAGCTTTGAGCAGATTGCTTACGCAGCATGCTTGAGCCATGGGCAGGTAGAACACATCTATGTGTCTCTGCACAGGCAAACAGCAACTCCAAATTGCATGGAGAGTAAATCAGCCCCTCCAGTTTACTCTGGATGCACACAGATTCACTGCTGAAACAGGGAAGTACAAAATGAAATATACTCTTCTGTACAGAAGTAAATTTAGTTCTGCTTTGTAGCTAAGCAACGTTGACCTTGTTGGCAAATAATAATAGGAAAAAGGAAACATTTTGGATAAATGTTTCATAATGACAAGTTAGAACTGGACTAGTGTTGGGCAGCTTGAAAACAGGACTTTCCAAACCTGAAGTTCAGCCAAAGTGATGAAGATGATGAAGAGATGACCACCAGGGGTCCCAAAGACCACTATCGTGCGCATGTGCAAATATGTGTAAACCTATGTGAAGTAGTTCTGGGAAATGTTATGAATATGTATGTCAATTACTAGAAATATAATGAATATGTATATTAAGAAACAATATAATCACAGCCTGATTGATGCTGGGACAAGGTGTGTTAAGAGGAGCTATCCCCCATGTCTCCCAGCACTGCAATAAAGAATAGTTGCTTGCCAGCTTTGTTGGTGAGTTCTTGACAAGTTCTTTGAATCAGTTTGGTACCCCAGATGGGACCCTCTCTGCTCAGCTGCAGGACCCGCTGAGGACAGGGCTCCCTAGGGCCCTCAGGAATTTTTCCCGGAGGGACCCCTCGACTCATTTGGATCCCTGCAGGAGCAGACAAGGACCATCTTTAAGAAGGTATTCTTTTGTAAGTATGATTTTGTTTTGGTTAACTTTCCATAAGTCGCAGGAGACGTCCTGCACAGGAGTTTGTTTGGAGTTTGGATTTTGATGGGTTAACCTTTTGTTTGGAGCCTTCTGTAAATCGAGATATAGAAATCTCATAGGCAAGGCATATACCCGACTGCTAGCGCCCGATTGGTATACATTCGAATTTGTTTGGAACTCTGTTTGTGATGGTATTTGACCTAATTTGCAGATTATCATGGTACTGATTTTGGTATTGACAACATGATATGGTTAATGCTGTACTGTATGTTGTGATTGCATCATTAATAGTTGTTTGTCTAATTGGATTTTATTTGTGTTCTAAGTATTGTAGTTGTGTGGAGTGTACTTGAGAGATCCCTTTTATATGTGTGTTGAGGGCAGGGGTTGGTCAGTGGGGCATGTAGCTGCACAAGGAGACACTGTTCTGTGTATTTTTGTTGTCAGGCTCGGGTTGAAGTTTTTGTGTAATATGCTGTCATGTTTCATAAGAAAGTGCCTCGGGCTGTGGCTTCTCCTGTGGAGCGACCGGGGTGGACACAGGAACTGTGAAGCACATTGTGGGATAAAATAGAAACTTGCACTAATGTGGGACCTGAACCGTATGGAGCCAAGGACCCCATGGGAATGTTAAAGTATTGAGGTGAGTTTGTACAAACCCCCATACCCACTCGAAGGTGCAACTGAGCCATGCTGGACGCATGGGGGGCTGTTTGCTATTTGCCTACAAAGGAATGGTAGGTAAGAACACAGAGTTGGAGCAACAAGTAGCAGATTTACATTCTGAGCTAGAAACGGTTAAAGCAGAAGTGATGTTGCAAGGCAGGGATTTTTAGCCACTGCAGAGCAGGGTGAGAGATGTAGGGAAAAAAAAAACAAACGGAGCAATAAAAAAGGCACAAAGGCAGTGGGGCCATGAGTTTGTGCCCTTGTATCTGATCCCAACTGGGACCCGGAGACATGGGATGAAGTAGTGTATGCAGATATGTTTTTCAGATTAAGAAACCACCCTGAGTGGCAGAGGGAATGTGGGATTAATGTAGCTCTGCCAGATCCCTTAATTTTAGTTTTGGAAAAGGACAGGGAAAAACAGGGATCTAAATTGGAGAGAAGTTGTTCAGCCTGTGATACTGGAGAAAGATGTTTAAAGTTAAGAAAAAGGAGTAAACAGGAAGATATGGTGGAGTATTATGTATTACTGGTACTTCCAAGAAGAGTGTGCCCTGGCCTGAATCCCGCTGATATTGACAAGGAGGAAGGGGTTGCAGTTGCTGATGATAGAACAGAAGGACCTGAAAATGTTACTCCAATTGCCACAAGCATTTGTAGCAAAACAGGGCTGGTAATTCAGGCACCTTTAAGACAGGCAATGGGACCGGAGGGTCAAACAAGAATAAAGGTGAACTTTTCAATGGGAGATTCGGATGCTTGGAAGTTAGCTGTGGAAGAGTATCGGGATGATCCCATAGGAGTGGCAAAAAGGTTTGCGTTGATTGTTAAAAGCCAAGATCCTGACTGATGGGACATAGATGTAATGCTGGATGCATTAACTGAAACGGAAAAACAGTGGGTATTAAAAACCACCCGTGCTCACATACGTGGTCAGATTACTGCAGGAGCATTAGCAGGTAAAGTGGAAGATCATATCCCCACTGCAACACCAGACTGGGATTGCAATCTGCCCAAGGATTGTGCTGCTTTGAAAATATATCAAAACTGGATGAAATTTGGACTGGAAAATGCAATTCCAAAACCAGTAAATTGGTCAGCCCTGTTTGTTGTAAAACAAGGGCAAACCAAAACACCGAGTTTTTGGATAGGTTGAGGGAAGTGGTTGTGAAAGTTTACTACATTAGATCCCTCTTCAGGAAAGGAAGTAGCAGATAGCCAATCTGTTTTTAGGACAATCATCAGAAGATATTAGGAAAAAGCTTCGGAAGTTTAAAGAGACATGTAATCATGATATAGAAAAGTTGATAGAGGAAGTGTGGAGAGTGTATAGAAATCGAGAACCGGTAGAGAAGAAAAAGCTGACTCGTACCATAGCCACAGCTACGGTGGCAGCTTTGGGACAAGTAGGAACTGGTAAAGGGAGTAGTATAAGAGGATGAGGCAGAGGCAGAGGAGGAATGTCAGACAAAGATAAAGTAAATCCTTTGTCTGTGGGACCGGATCATCATGCATATTGAAGGAAAATTGGACATTGGAAGCAATATTGCCCTGTCCTAAAGAATCTCCAGACAGCTCTGGTGACTGAATTGGAGCTAGGCTAACAGGGACCGGGGGAATCTACCCTAGCAGATCCACTGATTAAATCATAGCTATGGACCAGAGAAAAGGAGGTGGAATTTTTAGTGGATACAGGAGCAGCCTATCCAGTGTTAAATCAGAGTTTGACTCCATTGGAAAAGAATTTGTTACAGTTGTGGGAGCTACTGGCCGCCAAGAAAAAGCATTCTTTCTGAGACCTGTACAGTTGGGAAAACAACTTTTCCTAATTTGAGTACGAATTGGGAAAACAAATAGGAATGTATAAACGTCTATAAATGCCGAATTCTCCAAAGTCTTTACTAGGGCGAGATCTACTAGAACATTTGGAAGCAACCATAACGTTTAAGGAAGGAGAAATGGAATTAAAAGTTAAAGACAAACAATTAATTGAAGTCCTGAGTTTATCTTTTATTCAACAGAAAAGCAGAAAGAAGGACCTCCCTGAAATAGAAGAAGTCTTTATCGGGTATATCTGGGAGCATGGGTATCTGAAGTTCCGGGTAAGGCTAAAAATGCTTTATCTGTTATAGTAGAAATAAAATGAGGGGGCCACCCAGTTCAGATAAAACAATATCCCTTAAAATCAGAGCATCAGAAAGGAATCAGAGAAATAATTGATAAATTTTTAAAATATGGTTCGCTAATTGAATGTGAATCAGAATATAACACCCCTGTTTTACCAGTAAAGAAACCAAATGGAAAGAGTTATAGGTTAGTTCAGGATTTAAGGGCAATCAGCAAAATTGTGGAGGATATTCACCCAGTAGTAGCTAATCCATAACCCCTATTAACCAAATTGAACAATAACAAAAAATGGTCTACCATGTTGGACTTAAAGGGCACATTCTTCTGCCTGTCTTTAGCTAAAGAAAGCCAAAATTTGTTTGCTTTTGAAGGGGAAACCCCCAAAATGGGAAAAAAACCTCAGTTAACTTTGACAGTATTCCCTC